GCATGTTGTTGTTAACTAACTGGAATACTAATAATCTTAACTCTTTTCTCAATAGAATTATTCTCAAAAATAAAAAGCCACATAAGTAACTAATGATAGGAGTCTCAAGGTCAATCAGAGCTAGAAGACAAGATGAACAAAAATAGATTTTATTTACAACTCAAACAACAACCTTATCTCTGACCACAAGCCTTTAAAACTTGAATTAGATGTTTAGAGATATGACTCTATGCAATATTCGGTCCTATATGCTCACAACACTAGATTATTAAATTTTTTTATTGAACTCCTTTTCTTAATTTATATGTATGCAGATTTAAAGAATATTGATATACTTAATACAATTATTTGATACTTTCTAAATCAAATAGATCAATGACTTATCTTATTAGATAATATTCAGTCAAATATTTATTATCATTTGTAATTATCATACCTTAAATAAATATCTAGGTATCTGATGATTCCAGGGTTAAGATCATCCAGGTTTTGTTAAATTAAATGCATCAAATTATGTAAATACACTAATAACTTGAATATTAAGTACTAAAAATAAATAATATACAAAAGGAATATGATTTCTCAACCTACTAAGCAAATATGAATGCATAGAGAATCCATTGTTTTTATTCCATTTGTTCATTGCATTAATTTAGGCCCAAATTAAGTGTTCTTTATGATCAAAATCTAATTGTTGTGCAGGATGATTGAAATATTAAATTATGATTTCATTAAATTATTTTTATCAAGATGCTTGATTTAAATGATAACATATAGAACTAAGTTTTCTAATTATTAATTTAATCTATGACCTTTTTTCAGTCATTAATAATTTTTTGAAAATTTTAAGCTTCTTTTGAATGACATAAGTTAATAATAAATCTTTATATATGTTTTTGATGAATCATTATAATAAAATAAAGAATATAAGTGAAATTATCAAATATATATAAGTAATGCTGATATACTTATTTTCATGTATTAAATAAATTGATATTATAATAAACAAATTGTTTTTTGTCTATTAAATAACATTTCCATACTAATATTCTGTATATTTTTTTGATAAATTTATAAATATATGTTTGATATCATTAGAAAATATTTACTGAAGTTTCCAAAATAGGAATGGATTAAAGGAATATTGATTACTATTGGGAAAATAACAGTAGAGATTAATTTTAACAAATTCACAATAAAAAAAAAATCATTCAAATTAAGTTTTTTATTTATTACTATTCGAAGGGACTGAAATTAAAGTCTAATAAGTTTGAAGGATGGATTCATTAATATGATTTTAGGTAAAAACAATTTTTTTGCAATCATTTTTTTCATTATTAGACTAAATAAACACATAGTTACATAAAATCAAAAGTACTATAAGAATATAAAAGCTAAATGTTATCATTTATAAATAAATCAAAGTTAAAATGTGATCAATCAAAACTAATTACTAATCTATATCAAATAACTCTGAAATCAAGTTTTCCTTATTTAAATTCTTACAATAAATGTCTGTAATAGAACTAATTTGAACTATTTAGAGTTCAAAATACATCTTCCTTTTATAATATTTTTGTTATGGTAATCGAAATGTTAAAAAATGATATTGTTTTTAGTATAATTATTTCGAAATTGAATACTAAATTTAATTTCTCATATTAATAGAATTTTGTTTCTAAAGTTTCATAATGTTCGTTTAAAGTTATGCAGATGTATAGATAATATTTTCTATATAGATTAACTAATATTCATGATATCTGGTATTATTTAGTTGAATATAAAGCACAAAATGAATTCACTGAATAATATTAAAAATTGAATTCACTGCAATATTCTTGAAACTTAAAAATTATTAATAAAGATCAATTTCGCCATAAATTAATGTCAAAGAGAAATAAAAAGTAAATTCCCTATGATTATACTGAATAACTATTTCATTATTAATATTTGCTCAATGTAGCATAATCAGATTGAATTCAACTTTTAATAAAATATCTACTCTTTTAGTGTAGTCAACTGATACTTAAGAGTAATCATTTAAAATAAATATTAATTCTTAAAAAATAATATTGGAGTCCTTCATATTATTAGGAATTAACATTATTTCATTATATAATGAATTTATAGAGAAGATTGATAGAGTTATTTTATATAAAATATCAATATTATATTGATTATATCATCCTTTATAGTAATGAACTAGTGTTTTAAAATTGAACTAACAAAACTGTTATTAGAAATTTATTTCATAAGGAAAAATGTCATTTGCATAGCTCAATTATACAAATTAAAGAACAATGAATTATACTCATATGTAATACTGATATCTGGAAGTATTATGCTAGACTACTCTGATTTATAAAAAAAAAAAAAGAAATTCAAAAATTAAAGAAATGCATTTAATATATTCTCATGATGCTTAATTTTCTATAAAAGCAAACATTAAGTTTATTATAATTTCAGATCCAAAAAATAATCTAAATTTATATAAATTACTATATTAATAATATTTATCTCGGGGAGGAGAATGAATAAAATGAATAACAACTCTTTTATTGGACCATAATTGTAATAAAACAACATTTAATGATCATCTTAGCAGTTTAGATAATCAATAATTAAATACTTTATCTATAACAAAAGAGTCAATATAGGAGTGACTTTCAGATCTTTAAATAAAAGATATATGCTATTAATAATCTAGAAATAACATTAATTTGATGAGTTAAGTTATTTTTAAGTTGTAATATAGATTTAATATATACGTATGTATATATGTTAATGTCAATTAATTGATTAATTTATTAAAAAAAATAGATTTCATCATATAAGAAGAAGATGAATTACATCAAATACTTATCAAAATTAAAAGTAAATTTACTTGATAAACTTTTGTTAATAAATAAATTAAGTCATATAAAGCCATGAATTTCTGAATAAAGAACCTAAGATTAATAGACCTGACTATAGATAAGAATTAAAATTCGAAAAGTGAATTATACAGCAATAAAAAAGACAAAACAAGTGAACAATAAGTTGGATAGTAATATTAACTCTATTAAATTAAGCTTATCACAAAAGGTTTAAAAAATAGAACCATTTTTGAATTATTTCTTTATAAAATTGTTGAAAAGTATCTAAGCAATAACTAATTCTTAAATCTTATAAATTTATTTATATAATAAAATTAGGTTATTTCTACATCATAATTTAAATACAACCATTACTTGATATAAAAGTTTAGATTTGATATAATTTAGAACAAAATCATTTATAACTGGATTACATAATCAAATAGTACATTATATAAAATATAGAACTTTAGATATTCAATACTATTAAGTGATTTATAAATTTTGAAACTCAATTATAAACTAAAGTTTATATCATTAAAAACTTGTTAATGATTGCAAATAAAAGTAATATAAAAGTAATTGAACATTAACATTAAAATTGATTTCTATATAATTTCTTTTGAGATTCTGAAATGTTTATATTTTTTTATTTCAATTTATAAACTTCTGATACTAAATAATTTGATAAATTGTTTTCTGTTAATTTTTAGTTTTATTAATTTGTCAATTGAAACAATACTTCTATGTTGTTTTGATAAAAATACATTAGAAAATTAAAAAATATATTCAATAATCTATTTTTTATTTTGAATACTTTGATCCTTTTTATTTTCATAATTGTATTTGATTTTTCTTTAACATCTAATGGTTAAGAATATAGATCCAGTTAACTGATAAGAGGTTATTACAGTGATGTTTAATGTGTGAATATGACTTTATTGATAGTATCAGAAATAAATGGTGGTTTGATAGAGAATGCCCGCTTACTTTATTTTTGTGGTGTTGGAGACTTAAAACCCTTTAAGAGAAAAACTTTACTTTGAAACAGTTCATTCATATGGTCATACTAGGGGTGATCAATTAATATAGGCCTATTAGATCAATTCTATACTTATTAGGTTTTGGGATTACGACGTTAGAGTTCATAATTTTATAGTTTTCACTAGTTACAAAGATTCCAGCGATGAGATATAAATATTTGAAGGATATGCTAATGGAATTATATAAATAAACTTTTCCGATCGATAAGTGTAAAAAATTAGGATTCATATCTTTGGGTAATTCATTTAATAATGAT